TAGAACCATAAATGACGTAATCAACGATGGGATAATCTCTCCGCAAACCAAAGCAAAAGACAGGTAGGCAAGACTTGAATATAAAAATGATTTGTATTGGTGGATTCAATATTTAGAAATCCGTGTTCATAAAAGGATATGTGACAAATACATGAATAAAACCATAAAAGATTGTACAGAAAAATGTGAAAATAAGCTAAAACAAAATTGATATAGCTCTATCGAATTCACCTAACATAATTTGGTTGATAGAGATGTGTTTACGACGAATAATCAATTGTTTATAATCATTTCATTAACTCATTATTAAATTTCAGATACATTTTTATTTCATCTAGACATAGGTTTTAGTGGAAAAACAAACGCGTTGGTTCGGATACTGGAAGGAAGTGGACGATGTAAGACTGTGACGGTCTGTCGTATGCACTGGGCAGCCGAACCCAATGAACATGTGATATAACTTCCAATGTGACAAATGCATAGTTGTAAACGATTACACAATTACCGTGGTGGAATTTATTCAAATGAGAATTTGATGTTCTTGTTGCATTAAAAGTGAATTAAATGTATATAAAAAATCTGATACATTGTAAAGAAATAAACAAAAATGTATAACAATTTTATTAATTTAATAATAAAAAAGAAACAATATATAATGTGGATCAATGTCGACAGTTGTAACATCAAATACAAAAGTAACTATTCAATGATAAAAGAACATGCAACACTACACTTTATCATGTTCATAGTGTTTGGTAAAGCACTAAATTGTTCAATTTTAAAAGCTACTACTTAAAAGGTATATATAGCACTACAGTTTAGAATACAAGAAGTGTGCATATTTGTATTTTAATTTACATGTCACTAAAATTTCTTAAGCATGTTCCGTGTTTTAAGAAGATTGATTGATTGATTGTTGGTTGCTTAACGTCAAGTGGCAAATATTTCATGCATATTCAGGACGAGAACAAATTAACAATAAATACAATAGGTAGGTTCTATAATAGGGGCTTCCGGGATTAAGGTCGAAGAAATTTAGACTGCCACAGGAAATGTAGGTAAATTGGATAGGGACATAAATTTAGCCTTGCAACAGGTCACCTACGGACCCCTCAAAGAGCTGTTGCAAGGGTTCCTAACGTGCAAAGAGCGTGGCACTCTCTTTACACGAGGCATCGGATTTAACGTCCCCATTCTGACCGGACGTGACTGCGAATTTGTACATCCCGCACAGCCAAACGGACGCCCCACTTTAGCGAGGGTTTTACCGCCGGTCGGAGAAAGACCAATGGTGACTATATTTCTATTCCCCAGTCACCCGTGGGGATTGTTTTAAGAAGAGCAAGCATGGTTGACGGTCTTAAATTGTTCTTTTGTCCAATGGTAACCAAGTGTGTGTCTGAATCATTTTACCATGGATAAAATCCGTTAAAAATTTTGAGAAGAGAAATTCAACAGACAAATAAAAGTATCTTTTATTTCTACAAATGAAATTCAAAACATTCAAAATTTAGATAAAATTGGTTTCTTGAATGTACCATTCAGTCTTATTTAACTCAGACTGTTCAATTCAACCTGTATATTGAGAAATATATTTGAAACAAACACACACAAATCTGAAGGATTTAATTTGATGTTATTTAGAGTCTTTCATTTACAATAAATCATTCAAAAAACAAACAGACTGTGCTGAAACAATTAACAGAGTTGACCTAAATCGAATTAACCGTCTAAAAATCAATTGCATTTTAGATTTACATTGAACGTTATTATGAACAAAAGAAGAAAAATTATGTTTGCTACAGTCCTGATGGTGTTTATGAGATACAAGATCCTGTTAAATCCACCGCCACATTTATTTTTTTGTGATACAGTGAATTTTAGATTTTTTTATACACTTAATTAATTCTACCAATATACAAAACAAAGAAGAAGACTTCTACCATCTTTACAATATGACTATTTGAAATAAAATTTCGTTGATTAATAGACGACCATATGACTTCTGGATGTAGACTGAGGAAAACTCACAATCATTTCGTACGTTATTTGAATTGGTAGCAGGTAATATGACAGGGCATGGTAACAAGAACTTGTCAACATATTAGTGAACCGTTTCTGAACTATATCATCTTTTTCCGAATAACTACACATATCATATATTGATGCAATTTACCATAGCGAGTTTAAAATGTCATTGCTAAAATCTTTTTTGTTACAGAAGGAATACAATAATCTAAGAACATCATCAGAATAAAGTAAATAAAAGGATACCCGCCGACGGAAAGTTGCTAATTGTTTTATGTAGTAGTTTGCAGCATTGAAAAGTATAAGCAGTATTACACGTTGAAATATTAATGTAAAGGTAACACATGCTTTACAGAATCTAAATATTTTGTTTATAAAAATTTAAAAAAAAACATCAATTCTCTCTCTCTCTCTTTAAATATAATCATTTTTTGTCCTGTTCTTGCAGTGTTTATTTTACTTTTTAAATGGATTTAATATGTGAGACAAGATGCTCTAATGGATTCATTTGTAAAACAAGATGCTCTAATGGATTCATTTGTAAGACAAGATGCTCTAATGGATTCATATGCGAGACAAGATGTTCTAATTGATTCTTATGAGACAAGATGCTCTAATAGATTCATATACGAGACAAGGTGATCAACATGCAGTCAGTGTCTTTAATTTTAAAGTAGTAATGAATCTATACATATCTTTTTATCGTTTAATCTTATTTCCATTGCAAGTATCTGTAAATACTTATTTTCCTTATCTATTGATCCGGGACAAACAGAAATCGGGACGAAAAATAAAAATATCACTTTATAAATTGTATGCGTCCGACGCTCTTTTTCTAGATTTACCTTCCATCAGGGACGCTTAAAGCCGAATATTTGAAAGCCAAGGATGTACAAGAATCGGAAAAGTTAGAGAACTGTATGAACAAAAGGATCTTAAATTCAAGCCAAATCCATCGAAGTTCAATTTTGCAGGAGGGAATTGAAACCTTGAGATTCGTAATAAGGTTAAATTTATAAACGTGGGTTCCTCGGTGGCTGATAGTCAAACAGCAGAGGTATCAACTCAGTACTACAACAAATAGAAGCGACACTCATGTATGTTAGGCGCCCGACGCGATTTTCTGAACTTACCTTTAACAGGAACGCTAAAAGCCGAATTCTTGAAAGCCATGGATGTATAAAACTGGATATCAGCCTGTTTTTATGCAGAGCCAGAAATAATTCGAATTATTTTTTTAAATCGGAAAAAACGGTAGCCATTTTAGAGATGACGCACTACTATGTCAGCTCAGCTCTGACATCGTTATTTTATTTATTATCATTACGATTATTACCTACTTAAAAGTTGTATTCCGCATCGTTAATTTTATTTATTATCATTACGATTAATACCTACTAAAAAGTTGTATTCGGAACGACAACTGTGTTTCTATCTAATTGGCATTATTCCAGATAGTTTAAGTCTTTATAACACTTCCGACTCCCTATTTGTCCGACATAAGAATAATAAACCTTGTACTTACAATCTTAGTAATACGTTTTCAACAGAATGTCATTTCCTGTTTCTAAACAATCTTTAACTTATAGTATCACAGATCCATGTATTGACAATAGTCTTCTACCTCTAGACAGGCGACTAAAATTAAAAACGACTGAGATAGCACAATATCGCTTCATTGACATATTTGAAGTATTAAAAAAATGTACAAGGAATATTTGAAGCTTTGATTTTGATGGGTAGTAGCAATAACGCATTTTTAAATGATTTTAAAAAAGTGATCTATGTAAAACTAAAAAAATCAGTTTTCATTATTGAGACAAGGTGTTCACCATGCAGTTAATGTCTATAAAATTTAGTAGTGAAACTAGATAGTAGTCGACACAATTTCTGATCGTCACTAAACAAATGATTGTTAAACTTCCTTTGGAAATAGCTCATAAATGTTCAGGACCAGGACTGTTTAACAATAAATCCAATAGGTAGGTCCTGTCAGGGATGAAGGTTGGGGAATTTTAGACTGCCACTGGAAAATGAGGGAATATTGGATGTAAACCGACATATTGCCTTTTAACAAGCCACCTACGGACCACTCAAAGAGTTGTTGCAAGGGTTCTTAACGTGCACCGAGCGTGGCACTCTCTCTACACGGGGCATTAACGTCCCCCATTCTGACCGGACGCGAATGCAAACTTGTACATCCCGCATCGCCAAACGGACGCCCCACTTTGACAAGGGTTTTACTGCCGATCGGAAAATATACCGGTAATGACTCCAGTCAACCTTGGGGTCACTAAATCAAACGGGCGTCTTAAAAGTGAACACCATCAAACGAATACATGTTATAAAAATTAATAAGCAAAGAATACAAAATTCAAAAAAACTATCGGATAACAATTATTCTTCATCAATATTAAATGGCGTCATTAGCTATGCAAATTTTCTTAAATCTTGAATATTATATTATGGTCGATTTTAAATACCTCTTTTCGTTGATCCCATTTGATGCCAACGTTTTCTATTTTCTTATCCATGATATCTCCCATATGATTCACTCCTCTCTGGACCATGGTTTACCTTCACAATCATAGTCACTACATTAAAAAGTGGTTGCAATCCATTTATAGCATGATGAGTTATCGATTTTCAAAAGATATCAATATATAATAAAAGCAATTTTACTCCTAAACCCAACTCTGCTCCACTAATGTGATATCTATGAGTTGATCATGCAGTTGTAATGAAAATGAAATGAGTATTTATGTTTAGTATATTTTTTTTTATTAATTTTAATTTGCAATGGGTGATACAAAAGAAAGAATTGTCGGCATTTTTCGATCCTCGACAAAATCATCACCTGAAGCCACAGCTTATTTGCAGAATATACTTCTTATTTTACTCGGATCATCATTTTACACGCAATGATCCTATCGCCACCTGATCCATTACTCGATATTTGACACTGAAATGGTTAACAATCACGTAATTTTGAACGCCGGATCCGCCTAAACGTTAGCGGTGGTTAAGCGTGCGTTTTATTTTCAACGAGACGCTTGTAACTAATGTAAACTATGGCGGCGGCAAAATACAGCCTGTGGACCGTCCCGAAATTGAAGGCTGAACTGAGCATTAAGGGTGCAGTAATCACAGGACGAAAGGCAGATCTGATTGATAGGTATATGATGAACAAAATCATGTCAAATGCACAACTTTTTATAGGCTGCTCACGACTTTAAAGTCTGCTTATGTCATGTATGTACAGTGAGTACGTGGAAAAAATGTCAAAAGTAATTGTCAAATTTTTTATGTTGTAAACATTTCATATAAAAAATATTTTGTTCGTATTCATTGTTAGATTTTGATGAACTTGGCACCAAAAGAAGCGGAAATGTCTAAAGTATAATTTTGTATATTTGGTAATGATATTTTGTCAATTGTTTTTCTTTTCTCTTGATCTAAACAAGGTACTTTTTTGAACAATTTGATTTAGTTGAAATATAGAACAATCTTATCACATGCACTTGTTTCTATCAATGGGAAGGTCTACTTTCCATGTTCTTGTATTATACAATAACATGGATAGAAGACCTTCCAAGTGATAGAAACAATTAAGTGCCTGTGAAGCTTATGAACAAAACAATAACATGCAAAAAATAATCATTGTCTATATATTGTATCAATATTATAAAATATTAATTCTTCACAACAAAATTTTAACCAAATAAATAAATGCTTTTAAATGTCCTAATTATTACATAAGAAATAAATTGTTTTAATTTTGAATTCACACACAATAATTATGCTTATAGACTGGTTGCATATGACAGAAATCATAATTTCAAACCCCCCATCATAGAAATTCCAGAAGCTATAGATATAGAATGGCCAAAACATGGATATAAGCAGCCTATAGCAGATCATAGATTGGTATTTTCCAAGGTGACCAGAGAGCAAATTGATGGCTATTTTTTATTTAGATTAGCAGGTTAGTATCTCCATGTTATAGGTGGGGAAGTATTTTAAAGTGAAAGTTACCCACGGGGGGTCTCAACATTCATATATTCATGGGTAAAGATTATTAATTGTGACAATGTAATAAAATTTGATCAATAACAAAACTTGTGTCAAGAAGCTTCAGCAGATGTGGAAATTTTAATGACAAAGAGTTTGGGAAATTCTGTGAAGATGGTTGCACAACAAACTGAAAAATTATGAACCATTGAAATATCACAATTGGTCAATTACTACCTATTGATATATTTCCTCGGTAAAATTGCACCCCATTGATATATTTGACGTATCACAAAAGAGACCCATTCCAGTGGCACATATGTATATACCTTCATATAGGAAGAGACCTCCCCCCCCCCCCCCCCCCCCCCCCCCCCCCCGTGAAGTTACCAAACAAGTAGTCATCAATCAGTAATTGCTATAATGCTTTGCATGAAGAACCAAAAAATATAGCGGCGCCCATATTAAAAAAATTCTGTAATTGTCACCGGTAAATGTCCTCTGAAAAACCCAAAAATCATTTTTATAATATTATTTATATATGTTGTTACAAGTATTAATGTTTATATAAAATATACAATGTTGATTTCCATTGCTTTATGGATCTTATATAATTTTTATCTTATAGCTTTAGTGAATTAAGTATACATTTGCTTTTCCTTAAACAAAGTAGAGCTAAACTATGATAAAAGCTCATAATTAGCAGGTTAAAATCTTTTTATAAATATGTATTTTTTATTTTCATTGATTTCATTTTTGTTCAAGATTTACGAACCTCAACAATTTTAAGGTGATCTGCAACTTATATTATTGTTTATCAGATGAGGTCCAATCAACAAAGCGCCATAAACAGATTTTTACTCTAATATGGGACATCATTTTACTATATATAAAAAAAGAAGATGTGGTATGATTGCCAATGAGACAACTCTCCACAAGAGACCAAAATGACACAGAAATTAACAACTATGCTTATATTTAGAAAAAAAAAACTAAAAATCTGCAAGTTTGTCGGTATTGTCTAGGATGAATGATTAATTTAATGATTTTTTATTTAAAAAAGAGTGTTAACGAAGAATGGATTATGTCTTTTTCAACCTTAAATGTTTATTCGTCCAGGGAAATTTGAGCCGCTGTTAATTGTAATGTTAAAGGTTTGGAGAAGCTACATTTTTTGTATTTGTATGGAATTCTAAATGACTGCATTGTTAAAAACCAAACAACTCATCAGGCACCATGCTTATAATTTTGCGTGTTATACGCGCTTTTCGTCTGGAAATTACACAAATGAAAATGGTAATATGCCACATAAATTATCCAGCTGAAGAGCATTGTGGACTCATAAATCGAAAACCTTCAACGTATTTTCCAAATCATTTATGTATTTATTATATTTATATATAATTTTTACAGGCGATAAGCAGGTGAATGGCGACATTAAGGCATTGGAGAAAGGCAGAGATTTGCTACAAGCGAAAAAAATCCTGGCTTGTTCTGTACTTATTCTTGTTGATGGTATTTTTCTAAGTGGTATTGTTGGTGCAGCCATGAAAAAACAGGTTTGCATCAATAAACAGTTTTGTCCCATCCTCATGACATTTATATAATGTATATTAGATTGTTATATGTGAAATATTCTATTTGAGAGAATTACCTCGTCTAAGATCAAATAAGTGTTAATAATTTCTGCTTCATATTTTCCAATTTTCATGATTATTCTCTGTAATACTTTTTCTATTAACCATTATTGTATCTCTTTCAGTTTACTTATATTGGGTGACTGCTCTGCCAAACCAATTTATGCTTTAGTTGGCATTTTCAAATAAAACCATCTGATTTATTTTTAAAATTAAGCTTCACTTAATTTTTAGCTCACCTGGCCCATCACTTGGCGTCCGTCGTCCCGCGTCTGTCGTCCGTAAACTTTTACAAAAATCTTCTCCTCTGAAACTACTGGGCCAAATTTAACCAAACTTGGCCACAATCATCATTAGGGTATCTAGTTTCAAAAATGTGTCTGGTGACCCGGTCAACCAACCAAGATGGCCGCCATGGCTAAAAATAGAACATAGGGGTAAAATATAGATTTTGGCTTATATCTCTGAAACCAAAGCATTGACAGCAAATCTGACAGGGTTAAAAATGTTTATCAGGTCAAGATCTATCTGCCCTGAAATTTTCAGATGAATCGGACAACCCGTTGTTGGGTTGCTGCCCCTGAATAAGTAATTTTAAGGAAATTTTGCCGTATTTGGTTATTATCTTGAATATTATTATAGATAGAGATAAACTGTAAACAGAAATAATGTTCAGCAAAGTAAGTTCTACAAATAAGTCAACATGACCAAAATGGTCAGTTGACCCCTTAAGGAATTATTGCTCTTTTATAGTCAATTTTTAACAATTTTTCGTAAATTTTTGTTATCTTTTACAAAAATCTTCTCCTCTGAAAATACTGAGATGAATTTGACCAAAGTTGTAAACTATCATCATTAGGGTATGTAGTTTAAAAATTGTGTCTGATGACCCCGCCCGTGAACCAAGATGGCCGACATGGCTAATAATAGTACATAGGGTAAAATGCAGTTTTTGGCTCATATATCTAAACCCAAAGCATTTCCAGCAAATCTTTCAAAACAAAATTGGTCATTAGGTCAAGGTCTATCTGCCCTTAAATTTTCAGACCATTCAGGCAACCCGTTGTTGGGTTGCTGCCCCTGAATTGGTAATTTTTAGAAATTTTTTCAGCTTTTGGTTATTATCTTGAAAATTATTATAGATAGAGATAAACTGTATATAGCAATAATGTACAGCAAAGTAAGACCTACAAATAAGTCAACATGACCAAAATGGTCAATTGACCCCTTAAGGAGTTATTGCCCTTTATAATCAATTTTTATCAATTTTCATAAATTTTGTAATTTTTTACAAAATAATTTCCACTGAAACTACTGGGCCAAGTTCATTATAGATAGAGATAATTGTAAGCATCAAGAATGTTCAGTAAAGTAAGATCTACAAACACATCACCATCACCAAAACACAATTTTGTCATGAATCCATCTGTGTCCTTTGTTTAATATGCACATAGACCAAGGTGAGCGACACAGGCTCTTTAGAGCCTCTAGTTTTATTTGCAGGTATCTTACAACTATCATATCAAACTTGACAAATCTGGCAGCCCAGTTAATTCAAAGTGTGAATGTCCAGCAGGAAAGGGTCCCAATGCCACCTGCAAGCATGTTGCTGCAGTGCTGTTAATGGCTAATATTTTCTCTAATACTGGAGAAATTTCAATACAGAAATCATGTACAGAAGGTTTACAGACTTTTCAACAACCAAAGACATATTACAATGGTAACTTCTTTTACCTGAGTGTCCTGTAAAAGCTATTTATTTCAACCAAAGAATTGAGAGAATAAACAAGTTTCATTTCTTTATATGTTTATGCCCCACCATAAAGCAACAGTACATGAAGTTTTACGTCGGTATTGTTCTAAAGAGTTAAACATATATGGAAACATATGTCAAAGTTCAGAAACTATATCTCCACCAGGCCTTTAACTAGAGTTTTTGTTTTTTGTTTTCCTTCATTTTCCTTTATTTTATATTTTAGGTGTTCCAGTGAAAATTGAAAAAACTTGCTAAAAGGAAACCAACAGAAATATTAGAGGACCCAAGACCACAGAAGTACAGAAATATGGAAGGGTTTACAGACCATGTCAGAAACACCATGATTAATTTTTGCTCTCAATCATCTCAAGACCTTACACTGAGATATATTTTTCCTGCAGCTGATATAGAGGTACAATGGAAGTTGATGATTCATAAGAAAAACTTGAAAAAATATCTTTATTTCAAATAAAATTAACAAATTTTAGGTAATACATAGAATAAAATTAACTTTTAACAACATTAACAATGTATACAGTCATATATTAGTAATAAACCTGTTTGAATCACACACATGATAAAGACAAAAAGTTTGCATGTTCTTGATTTTTGGAAAATTTACATTGCCTGTCGATTTTTAAACATACCACTTGTCTTGTAAAGTCAAATTTCTGGTGCTCATATAATACAATCTAAAAAAACTATATATTAACAAAAGAAAGCAAGTAGCCTTGAGTTTTCATATTGCCAAATTCACTGTAATATGTAGTATATCTATATAAATTTTGTTAGTCAAAGGTAGATAACTCCATGTTTAAAAAATAACTCATATCATATACATTGTAGTTAGATTTATGCACATGGCTTCTTTAATATTATTTTAAATTTGTATTTCAGACTGCCCAGCTTGATCATGACTATCTGTCGTTACCATTTGCTGAATATTGGGTTGACAGAGCTTTAATGGTAAGATGAAAAATTCATTTGCAGTATCAATTTATATGTAAATCAGTGCCAATAAAAGGCAACTCCAAAATATCTTATGTACAATAAATAATAATGTATAAAAACTCTTAAATAATTTTCATACTTAAATTTAACAATTCACAAGCCCCGAATAAGAAATATTTAGCTAGCATATAGGGTACCAATAACCAGACAATTTACTGATCTTTGTTGTACTCAAAATAGTTAAGTCTTTTTTTTATTTTCAATATGGGATAGTTTTCACACTTTTAAACATGTTTGTCTGTTTATTCAGTACCTGGTACCAAATAACTTATATTTCAATATAACACATCTTATGATTGAATGAATGTTTTTGTTTCTTAATAAAATTAAAAGGATTGAGTGAATTCATGAGATATCCTATAAACTATATAAGATATTTTATATAAAAAATAATCAAATATTTTATCTTATAAATCTTATCTAACATGTCTTATATATATATATAGTTTATAAGATATCTCATATAATTTTCTTTATAAGATATCTCATATAGTTTTCTTTATAAGATATCTTATAAATTATATGAGATATCTTACAAACTATATGAGATATCTTATATAGTTTATAAGTTTATAACATATCTTATATAGTTTATTAAAATCTTATATAGTTTATTAGATATCTTATATAGATTTTAAGAAATCTTATATAGTTTATAAGATATCTCATAAAGTTATATGAGATATCTTATAAATTATATGAGATATATCTTATAATTTATATGAGATATCTTATAAACTATATGAGATATCTTATAAACTATATGAGATATCTTATAAACTATATACACTTATAGTCTTTGTATGAGGTCGATACAAGGATATATTGACCTGAAAGAAGTATATTGACTGAGGACGAAGTCCGAGGTCGATATACTTCTTTGGGTCGATATATCCTGTATTGACCTCATAAATAGGCTATAATTGTTATGTTATTAATTTCCAACCACATTTGTATCAAAATCGTCATTTGATTTTGTTGGAATTTTATAGATATCATATTGTCTCCTAGACGATTACAACATAATTAGTTGTTATTTCATTTGCTTTTTTTGTTGTTTTTTCACATCTTATGTATCTGAAGATTTTTTTCTTCAAATAGTCGATCATAAATATCTTTTTATAAAAATTTTAACAATATCATGAAATTTTATTACATGACGTCACGAAGTATATCGGATTTTAGATATTCTAAAAATAACAGTGCAATATGCTTTTTGCTGTGCAATATGCTTTTTGCTATCCGCCGTTTTCTCTCTACCTTCGAAAATATAGTTTAACATGTGACTATCCCTGAACGAATCAAATTAGTTAAAATATACGAATTAATAATATTATGAGATATCTTTTAAACTATATAAAATAAAAAAAACTACTTGCTACATTTACATGCTGAAAATTCCTTAAAGTCAAGATTTTATATTGATTTCACTGCTATTTTAGGTTACAGTACAACAGGCAAAATTGGCTGAAAAGGAGACAAGAGGGCAATCCAGCAACAAGAAATGGTTTTATTTAAGACAGTGGAGGATAACAGCATCTAGGTTTGGAGAAATTTCAAAGATGACCACAAGGAGAAATGTACAAAAACTATGTGAATCATTGTGCTCTCAAAAGTTCCTAAATGTAAAATCTGTATTGCATGGTAAAATGTACGAGCAGAAGGCAATATCACAGTTTGAACAAAAGTTTCAATTGAAATGTCAAACATGTGGACTGTTTATTTCTGCTGACAAACCATTTCTTGGAGCTTCCCCAGATGCCTTAATTGGAGATGATTGTGTTGTGGAGGTGAAGTGTCCATATACAGGACGAGATGAGAGTATTGCGCCAGGAGTCAATTTTTCTTTTTTGGAATATGGCAAAGATAACAATATAACATTAAGAAAAACATCAAACTATTACGACCAAATTCAGGGTCAACTTTTTTTATCACAGAGAGAACATTGTTATTTCATTGTTTATACATTTAAAGACCTCTTTGTTGAGAAAATTGAAATTAATCATGACTACTGTGTTGGTTGTCTGCTTCCAAAGTTGGAATTATTTTACTCCAAACACTTTAGGCCATATATTGCCTCAATGCTATAAAAAATTAATAAATTATTGAGACTTTATATTTTTTATATTGTTATTTTTTTTTATCAGTGAGTTTGGGCTGGTCATTGTGAAAGTGTCACCTATGTGCATTTTTGAACCACCCTTTGAAATTTATGCAAAATTTGTTATCCTCTCTTCTAATTTAGAATCAATTCAGCCCCCCCCTCTTTTTGTGGATAATTCTCAATTTACGATATTTGACCCCCCGTGAAATATGTAATTATATTTCCATCTGCAAAAATTGATACCCTATTTTACGTTAATACAAAAATTAAATCCCCTTTTACATTTACAAAAAAACAAACTTGTAAAATCCTCCTACATTTTAACCAGCCCTTAACCTAGATAAAAAATTACATATAAGTTCCATATTACAGATGAGGGTGCATTTTTATTCGACTAGATACCAATAATGCTGGACTTGATTATCACAATCTCTTCAATATTGATTGATGTTGAAACATTGAAAAACCAAATAAACATACTCAAAGCAATAAAGAGCATTAGGCACCGAAAATCTCATATCTACGACAAGCCAAAACTAGTTAAAAAGTATAATTACATTTTATGTAATTAGTGGAAACATCTCAGGAAGTATACTTTGAAACTATAAAAATAAGGTCAATTTTACTTACTTTCTTTTGTTAAATTACAATATTAAAATAAAAATGGGACCCTTTGAAAATCTAGGCAAATTTATCAACAATTGCATTTTTGAAATTTGTCAATGCAAAACAAACAAATACAATTCTGTTACTCAGTGACAGTTTGGTGTTTGGTAATTCAGACTTAAGAATTTTGAAACGTTTGGCTAATCCTATTACATGTTCTATATGGATACGCTTGGATGCAACACGTCTATCCCTCACAATTTCTTCTGGCTCTAGTTGTGATTTTCCTTTCAGCATTGTAGGCGTATTAACATAAACATCATTGTTTGCAAAGAGGTCTTGAACCATAATGCCTCGATCCGCCATAATACTATCCCCAGAGTCAAACCTGGTATTATCTAAAAGACTTGAGTCTTCAATAATCTGCCTGTCACTGGTAGATCCCCCATAGCAGTCTGAAATATACGATATAGCACCTCTTGGGGTACACCCAACCATAGTTTTCACAGTATTTTTGTGCTTGTAGGAAGACCAAGTCACACTCTGAATGTTTACGTCTTGAGATTTCTGGATTGGAATCTCAGTAGCATCAAGGATAACTCGAGTCCTTGGAAATTTTCTTTGAAAATCTACTGGCATATGCTTATCAACAATGTCTCTTGATGGCCAAATATTTAATTCATTCAGTTGAAAATAAAGGAAGTTAATCCAGGTATTAAAAATCCTAGCAATGGTAGAAACAGATAAATTAAATAGCAAGGATAATTCTACATCTTCTTTGGCACATCTGAGTTTAATCAATGTTATAAATAGCTGATCAGATGGATGAAGGGTTGAACATTTATATTTGAGCTCATATGCAGCAGGACCTAGTGCATGGAATAAGAACATGAAATGTTCATAAGATTTAAAACCTGTATAAAATGAAACTGCCTTTGGATTGTCCATGAAATTTTCAATTGAATACCGACCAAGTAACTCACACTGGATCTCCATGTCCTTGGGTACATGTACGTCAGGCTCTGAAGGTATGGAAATATTGGTACTATTCTGTGTAGACTCGACTTCAACCTCTTGTTGTATTCCTTGGTCAAGAGCTTTGTCCACACTCATAGCTTTTCTCGATTGCATTCTTAAAGCTCTAGGGCTTACAATATTTATTTTGGGACGAAAGCTAAACACTGATGGTACTGCATCTACCTTTAGTCTACTTCGATCACCTGGAAACAAAGCATGAAACTGATCTTAATAATTTTACACACATGTGCTTGGAAACATTTTTTTTTTATTTGGGCAATAAAACTACCACATACATGTATTCTGCTTTATTTTTTGTTAACATTGCAGTGGGGATAGTACTTGTATAACTTTACATACATTTATAAATAATAATTCAGGCCAGGCTTATTAAGATTTTATTTGATAGCGTTTAACAAGAAATCTTTGTTCCACATGCAATCACACTCATTGAGTTAGTTGGTCTATGGCAAACAAACAAGTCTCCATGTTGCAGGTGTGACCTATAATTGGTTGTATTTACTACTTAAGGAACTTTGTTGTGTGAGTCAAGGCTCCATGTTGAAGGCTGTACTGTGACCGTCATGCATATTGCTTATTTTTATACTTTATGTTTTCAAGAGAGAGTAGTGCCATTGGCAATCATAATACCACATCTTCTTAGGTTTAAATTATTTCAATTTGTGCTTCATTAACCCTGGAGTGGGTATATGCATGTAGTAAAACAACACATTGATAACAAACAGCTAATTTTAAAATATGAGCCACTTACATTTTTTACATACATTTGTACATCAAGTTAACTTAAAGTAGGAGATGAAAGTTAAATTTTTTTTTTTGATTTATCTATTAAATTCTTAAATTATTTTGACCCCAATTTTCCATTGTTATGATCATATTATTATTAAAAAAAATAAGGAATTCTTTTTTCTATCTATTAAATAATGCCATACTCACATTCTCTTTACTTGTGGTCTTCCTGAAAATGTAAAACGAAACCACAAAGCAACACAAACTTTATAACATAAATTCATGCTAAAACAATAACAATTTTTTTAGAAACAATGTCAGTCAGCTGTGATAATGATTGTGCCCAATACATGTGATCCTTGAACATTTACAGGTGTTTTGAAATAAATACTATTTATAAAAAAATACACATTGTTATATTAGAAAAGGTAAAACACAAGCTTGAACAGTTGGTATAACTTGATATCAATACAAAGCTACTTACATCTGGGACTATTATACTATTAGTATAATAGTCCCAGCTTACATGTATGCTGCTACAGTGCTAGTTTTACAGAAAAAAATGATATATTTTGTTTATTTAATGTTTACCTTCCACCCCCTAAAAACCCCCTTTCTGGTCACTAAAAATCCAACTTCTGACATTATAATGCATGCCGATAATTTTAAGAGTAATAGAATACGAATAAACTACACGTAGATCATACAAAATTTACCTAATAATGTCTCCTTGTAATCATTTGCTGTAAAATGTTGATGACAAACAATGTCGTGTTTTCCCGGTTTCCATAGACCTTTGGTAGGGTCAGATCTTTTTAGTGCAACCCTCCACTTTAGACACAGCTCGGGATTTGAAGGGAATTTGTGACCACCACTCACAGAACATCCTGGGACACAACATCTTGTTGGCATCTTGTTATTACGTCAGGACGTTAGAGACCGCCATACATTTACATTAGATACAAGCGCCTAACTGATAAAAAACGCTCAGGTAACCACCGCTAATTTTCCGGATGAAATCGGTGATTGTTAACCATTGTAACAGAGAGATAAAATAAAAACTTGTACGGAAGGATGTGTAAACTGCTTTTTTTCTGATTGATATTTTTTTTATCTCGTTATTAGATAAAACAAAGAAAGCAATCAGAACTTTGCGAAGACCTCGAACGACGCGTTTTCAGCTGATACAAAGTTACAAACTAAACATGTATCGAATGTAAAAAGAATTATGTTGTTCAGATCATATCCTTCTTATGCCTTGCCTTGTCACTCCATGTTAAATGTTTTTAAAATTAGGTAAACAATTAAATGTCTTCATGTCGCTATCATTCAGTGGCTTACGATAAATGCAACCAGGGTACACGACACCAAAACTAATGAACGCCATGTAAGCCATTGACGGTACAGCCGTGGTGATCTATCCTCCACAAATCGATAAAGCCGGAACTATCAAGGGATAAGAATGATGGTCTATAAATCATATAACAGGAGCAAATTGGTAAAGTTGGTCCGCTATATTTCTAAGAAGGCTGAGTTCTCCTTGGATATAAACTATACCCACATCACCAACTTTGAATACATTTAACACTATTTATCACACTTCAAATCAATCGTAAGGCGGAAAGTTTGAAAACAAAGTGTCGAAAATTTAGTAGTTTTTTAGATGAATACATAAACAAAAATGTGAGTACTTGATTGAGACAAGGTAGTGACATGTGCCGTCCTTGTCAATAGACGTACAGTAAAACCGTATTTGAATTATCATCTTATAAAATATGACGGAAGCAAGAAGCCTATCGTCTGAAGGGTGACTGAGGAATAAAAATGTGGTCACCATTGGTCTTCATCCGACTGGCTATGAAACCGTCGCCAAACATGCCGAAGTAGGGCGTCCGTTTAGCTGTGTTGGATGAAAAAATTTGCAGCCACGTCCGGTCGGAATGGTGACGTTTAATCCGATTCTACGAGTAAAGAGAGTGCAACGCTGTATGCACGTTAAGAACCCTTTAAAGAATTTTCTGAGGGGTCCGTAGGTGGCCTGTTGAAAAGTTACATTTATATATCTGTCCAATATACCCTCATTTTCACATGGCAGCCTAAAATTTCCCTACCTTAATCCTGGACGGACTATTACATGACTTACATATTGTATTTATGGTTAATTCGTTCTCGTCCTGAGCATGCATACAATATATTTTAAGTCAGTATTTGCCATAATCATGATTTTATATTAAGTATTTGTTTTGAATTGACTTTTTACACATTACATGCACCTGTCCCTAAAGACAATTAGCAGATGTAATCCCGTATAGTAAGCTATAAACTAAGCCACCAGGACCACATAATGTGATATTATACAGAGTGAAATCAACCTATCAAAATAATATTAAGAGTAAACGAAAGAGCAGTCATTAAATACAGCAACTAACTACAAACACTTGGTTACAAGGTCATTTTCACAGACAGGTAAATGAAAAAAATTGCGTCGGAGTTTAACATGCATGTTTGTGCCTGCTAAACCTCCCCTCCCCAAATAACCCACAGCAATGCACCAAAAGAACAAACTGCACACAGCTATATAAAACATTGATATAAAGCAGAAAGCAATGAACAAAAAAAAAACAAAAAAAAACTACGTA